GGCTCCTGGCCTTGGGGTCCCATCCATGTGCCCCCAGGAACTTTTCTCTCAGCCGTTACCCCCATCCCTCCCATCCTGCCCCACTTTTTGTTGGCTCTAAGATGTGGCCTACACCTGTCTTCCGTTTCCAGCAGGGACACAGATCCCCCCATTCAGGAGCCTCCCATCACCTTATGGGGGGTTTAGGGCTGGAGGAGGGGGACTGGGGTGTGTTGGGGTCAGTATTCCATCCTGAATTCGAGGTAGTATTCTGATAGTAAACCTCGTTCCTAGACAGAGGGCACTGTCTCCAGGCAAAGGAAAGCTTGGCGTGGCTGAGTAGGGCAGAGGCAGTGTGTGTGCGCGCGTGCATAAGTACATGTGCACGAGTGTGCGTGCATGCGTGTCTGTGTGTGTGCCCGAGTGTGCGTCCATGGGGATGAGTCTATGGGTGTGTGAGTATGCATGTGTGTCCATGCGCACGTGAGCGTGCGTGCATGCGTGCATGTGTGCGTGTGGCCACCCATTACCAGGGTGCTGAGGTCCATCCTGTAAGCCTAAGCCACCCATAACCGGCATGCTGCAGGCACCCATAGCTGGCCTGCTGAGGGTCCCCATACAATGTGCAGTGTCGCTGGAAGCTTGACTGGAGGCCGTCTGTGGCCACTGGGCTGGGAACGCTGGCAGCAGGCGTGGGAGGGCTGGCCTTGCGGCCCTCCTCTGTCAGTCTGTTCTTGGAGGAGCTGAGGAGGTGGAGAGCAGCGACAGCAGGGCAAGCTGGGCTTGGGAGCCCCGGGGTGGTCCCCTAGGGGGTGCCCCTCCTCCCCTGGAGCCAGTCCTGTGCCGGGTGCCCACCTCACCTGCGCCCTGCCCTCCCTCCCGACAGTGAGAAGACTCATGAAGCAAAGCTGGCAGCCCCTGAAGCTGCACCCTGTGCCATTCCAGAGGACCAGCTACTCCGCCTACGGAGAAGAGTGAGCCCGGGCCCTGGGCTGTGCTGGAGGACCCGCCTTCCCACCTTCAGCCAGCAGTGAGCCTGGGCCCTGGGCTGTGCTGGAGGACCCACCATCCCACCTGCAGCCAGGAGTGAGCCCGGGCCCTGGGCTGT